ATGGCACAGTACTCTTGACACCTGCAGGAGGTGTCAGACCAGGGAGACGCCGTGTCTGAATGTAGATATTGATGAAATAATTCATTTCAAGTAGAAAATCAGCAGGAAACTACCTGCATTTTTGCATGGATGTGTTGAGTTTATTAATTTCAGGTTGCTATCTTTAAGGCAGAGTACTAAAATGGTCAGTCCCCCACCAGGTGAAATGATAAATGCACCCTGGCATGATAGGGTCCCACCATGGTCCTTGGCAAGACTAAATCCGGCCGAAGAGGCTATACGTCCAAGGGCGGCATTTGCTTTCTTATCTGTCACATCACACTGCCGGCTCTTGTTAAGCCTGCTATCGACAAGTACCCTGATATCTCTTCATAAGCACTTGCTCCCCATCCTGTACCTGTGACACCTATTCCTGTGTCCCAAGTGCAAGACCTTCTTCTTATCCACATTGAACGCCATCCTGTTGTCCCCCACCCACTTCCACAGTCTGTCCAGATCCTTTTGGATCTGGAGTACCTGCTCCCCAGTTGTGACCACTGCCCCCATTTTGGTATCGTCCATGAATTTAGTCAGCAGACTGGTTACCCCCTCAACCAGGTCATTGATAGAGGTTGACTAGAATTGGTCCCAGAATTGAGCCCTGGGGGACTCTGCTCATCACTGGTTGCCATTCTCTTGATTCCGCACTGATAGTCACCCTCTGCCTTTGGTCTGTCAACCATGCCCTAATCCATTAGACAGTGCATCAATCTGTCCCAAAGCTCATCAATTTCTCCACCAGGATATCATGCAGCACCTTGTCAAAGGCCCTGCCAAAACCCAGATGAACCACATCCATCACATCTCCTCAATGGAGCCACCTCAAAACCTTGCCATAGAATTCCGCAAGGTTCAGGTGGAGGACCTCTTTTTGCAGAAGCCATATGCATGGCTGCCAACCCTCCTTTCCTACCTTGGCTTCCTAGAGCTTTCCCTACTATGAGCTTCTGGTTTTCCTAATCGTGTTTCCCTGCTTCTTGTGAACATTAGCTAGGGAAGAATGTTTCCTTTTTCTTGGGCTGAGCAGAGGGGTGATAAGAAGGGCAGGATGCAAACTCTGTTTTGAGCTGGGCATATCTTGAACCCACATTCAAAGCCTAACATTGAATGGAAAAAGGAAGGAAGGAAGGACAGAAGGAAGGAAAATCCATAATTCTTACTCCATTCGCTCTTTTGTTGTTGCCTCAAGTAACTGTTTTGGTTGCCTTGACAAATGGAGCTAACCTCCAAAGAATGTTTCAAAGCACACGTCTCCCTGCTCTCTTTCCACTCTGACATTCGATGCTTGTTGCAAAGGAGCCGTTCAACAGCCTACAATGTTTGATGGCAGACCTCAGCGGTAATTTAAAATATCCTAATTTAATAGAGTATGATCGGCTATTTGCCAACAAACACGCAAGTTGTGCTGTAAATCATGTGGCAGAATGGTACAAGACCATTATGCCGGGCGATATATCACAGCCCTCTGTTGCGTTGGCAAGTTGTTGCCATTATAATGTTACTATCCATCTTAAAACTTGTTTTTCTTTCAAAAGGGAAAGATGGAAAATAAGCATCTGTTTGCGTGGGCAAGGGGAAATGTTCTTGAATCTGGAGATTAAAAATTAATTACCAGTTTGAGGGATGCATGGCGATGAATCATTTTAACCAATTAACTAAAGTCCTCATAATTGTTGGTACTGTATGTGGGATAGGTTTGCTCTCTTTGTTCCACGTAGATCTATGAGCAATAGTGGAACTATGCAGATTTTAAAACATGTTAGTATAGCTCAGGAACGCCTCTGCAGAGAACCACTGAAGCTAGAGGAATGTGGACAAGGTCTGGGCGAGGGCTCAGGAGAGATGCTCCATGAATCCTGTGTGAACTGTGCAAGGAAGCAGAGCTGACTCCAGGTTCAAAGGGGGTGCTGCTCTACTCCCAGGCATTTGGAAGGATATGGTAGGGTTTTAACAGGGCCTGCTATTTCCTTGATCCTTCAAACTGTGTGTGTACATAGCCTGCCTAATTGTGGAAGCTAAGCAGAGTCAGGCCTGGTTAGAACCTGGATGGGTGACTTGCATGAATAACTCTGTTATTGTAAACTGCCCAGAGACCTTCAGCTACAGCAGGTATTGAAATATAATGAGGGGATGTGCATGGACATGATTTTTATCCTATGTTACCAGGTTATGTTTTCCAAGTGTTTAGTCTTTGTAAACTGCTCAGACAGCTCTGGCTATTTAGCAGTAGAGAAATGGAAGGAAGTGTATCAGATTCATTCCCTCCTCCGTGGGCCTTTGATGGCTTCCCAGCAGGGTCCCATTTGGTGCCAGGAAGCTGCCATTTTAACGTTCTGGTGCAAAGCTGTGCTAGAGATGTTGCATTAAATAGGAACAATAGCCACCTAGAACTGATTGGAGTACCAGGCAGAGGCAGCACCAGGGATGGCCAGCCTGGATTCTTCCTTCACCCCATGCATAGACACACGTCTGCAAGGAAGAGGAGGACAGAAACCTAATATGGAAGTATTGGCTGCCAATTAAAGTCCAGGGGCCAATTAGAGGTGCTGGTAATGACCTACAAGGCCCTAAACAGCTTGGGTCCGGGATACCTGAAGGAGCACCTTCTTCCCTATGTGCTGACCTGCCCCTTGAGATCTGAGGTGGAGGTTCTGCTTTGGGAGCCTCCTTGAAGGAAATCAGGAGGATAGCTACTCAGAGAAGGTCCTTTTCAGTGGTGGCACCCCGACTGCGGATCACACTCACTCCCTAGGGAGGTTAATCTGGCACCGTTGCTTTATTCTTTTTGGTGTCAGGCAAAGACCTTTTTATTTTTCCAATATTTTAACAGTTAATTGGTTTTATCCTTGTTTTTATCATCATTTACCAGATGCAGTGTGTTGTTGTTATGGTTGTTTTGTTTTTGGTTCTTTTGGTTTTTGTAAGCTGTCCAGAGACTTTCAGCATTGGGACGGCATATAAAAACTGTAAATAAATGAAAAATATATTAACAGTATGGCTTGTTTATGCATTTATTCATTATATTTCTACCCTGCCCATCAGCCCAAAGGCTCCCTGGGAGGTTCCCATTGAAAACATGGGCGCTTGCCGCATCAGCTCTTTAAGGCCGCCCAGGGTGTCACAGAAGCTAGAGTATTTGTCTTGAAGCAAGGCAAGCTGGGTTCAAATTCTTGCTGAGCTGTGAAGATCCCTGGGTGACCTTGGCCCAGTTGCCTGCTCTCAACCCAGTCTCTCTCACAAGGTTGATCGCCACATTGCAACTCTGACTTGCCAGGAGCACCCTAGGTTGGGATGCCTTGGGAAAGCATCCAGAGATGCCTGCGGCTCATGAAAGCCAGGAAGAAAAGCAAAATAACAAACCTCAGTTGCATCACTGCATACAAACTGGGTCAGTCCCTATTTTTTATTATTTATTTAAGGCATTTTTATGTTGTCCTTTAGTCAATCAGTAGATCTCCGTATACTGGAGACAGACCGGAATGGGTGTGATCTATTTACAAGCTTTCCAGAATGAATCGGTTCACAGTTGCTAGAAGCTGGAGGAAGCTGACCTTTCCTCCATAATGATTCTTATGAAGCCCTTCCATAGTATGTGTTTATGAGGATACACTCTTTGGAGTACAAGCTGCTTTGGATATCATTCGAATAGCAAAGCAGAGTACAAATAATGCATGGGAAATGAACACAACTTTTGCAACGAATAGTGAGAAAGTGAGTCTTGTTTGTTGTACGGCTTCTGAGATGTCCATCTGTAAACCTTTGGGCTTATGGACTGTGTCAAATGTGTAATATGCTTTTATCCATTTTGCAAGTTTGCCATTTCTCTCAGTGGGGACTTCAGAATGTCTGGAAATATCTTGCAGAGTCCCAAAAAATGCGGAGCTTTGTGGTCTTTATAAGATTAGTTGTCGGCACGGATGCCACTGCCTGAGGTCAGGCCTACGCAGTGGGATGGGAGATTTTCAGCCTTTCCCTTTAATTGGTGTGTTGTTGCAGGTTTAGTAGTGTGGTGTGTATGCATCTGATTCACAGGCTGGATATATAGTGGTGGGGAGGAAACATTATTTGGTTTCATGTCAGTTCCCTGCATCTTTTTCTTGGGATTAAATGGCAACCGTGACATGGGAACTGATACCCGTACTGGAAAAGGAGCATTAAACATGACCTTGCAAAGCCTTCTTTCTCTCCTGGTATCACGTGGCCATAACAGCAATTTCATCTTGTTTGCCTCTGTGTCGAACTCTCAAACACGCAGAGAGAGCTGAAGTGTTGAAACAGCCCCAACTGTTGCCTGATATCAGGTATGCAAAAAGAGCATCCTTCTAGCACCTTCCTTGGTACTTCAAGAGATCCAAGGTGATACCTCGAAGAGCAAGTGGCCAAGCAAAACATCTTGGATTGGCTCATGTGCAGGGAAGTAAGATACGCTGGCCAAGGTCTTTGCGGTGCTGGTGCAGTCATGAGTTTCTGTGAGGTGTGGAATCAGTGGTCCACCTTCTTGTTGGACTCAGTTGGACTGTTGCCACTGGAGCATGCCAGACTTGCACCCAACTGTTCTCAAATTTCCTAGACTCACAATAGCCATAAAGTTATGAATCAGTAAAAGCATTGTTAAAACCTGCGTAATAGAAGGTCTTCTCTTCTAATACATATGAAATCATTTGTTTTTCTGGTTAAATTCACCTAGAAGAGCTATTATTCTTCCATGCAGTTCACAAATGCACCATGAAATCACCAGTCTGTTGATAATGCGGTACTGAAAAGCTTGGATATACCCAATATTCCCACTAAGTGTATGTTCTCTCCTTGTCTATTGCAGAGCACTCTGTGTGTCTATTGTAGACAGGTTATTTATGCACAAAGTTATCTTCAGCAAGACGACCAGCTCCACTCCATCAACCATGCCTCTCCCCAGACCAACCCTACAATAACCCTCCTACTCTTTTCTTTCTTCCGTGTAGCTGGATAGCGCCACATCCCTCATCCAAGCTGCTAAGAATCTGATGAATGCTGTAGTTCTCACCGTCAAAGCGTCATATGTGGCGTCGACCAAATATCAAAAGGTCTATGGTACGGCAGCGGTCAACTCACCTGTTGTGTCTTGGAAGATGAAGGCACCAGAAAAGAAACCATTAGTCAAGAGAGAAAAACCAGAGGAATATCAAACAAGAGTGAGAAGAGGTTCTCAGAAGAAACACATTTCTCCCGTACAAGCCCTAAGTGAATTTAAAGCGATGGATTCCTTCTAATTCACTAGGCTTCACTACAAGGGTTTTTTTTTTTTTAATTTCCTTTCTTGTTTTTGTATGCGTACCTGCCGGCTTGTATGTGTCCGGCATGGAAACAGATAACGAAACAGTGTCAATTTGCATGCAAACAGACTTTATTGGAGTCATTAAGCGATCCACAATTTCCCTTCCCAGAGGACACAGGGTGTCTCTTCCACTGACCTTTTTTCCCACAATAGCAAAATGAAATCCTTCCCTACCCCTGCAAGAAAAAGAAAATGTATGGTAAAGCTGGGGTATGGGAAAGGGAGATAGTCAGCTCTGAAGGATGGGAAGTAAATCCTTAATGCATGCAAGAAACATTAGGTTGGCGAGACTATTTATGGGGGAAACCAGGACCTTGCAATGGCAGCCCATAATGGCTTGTATTGCTTTTGTTACAGTGCAATCATGTAACTAGCCAATATGCTTGAACCCGTGGCCCTGATAATGAGACAATTAAACTTTGGGTCATCTTCATTATGGTATGTGAATTTTTAACAAAGATGGTGATAAAAGAAAATTAACACACTTAACCCACACTTCCTTCTTTTGTTTCTAGTAGTGTTATGACAATGCTTCTGTTTCGACAATTCCCACTTGACATGAGCAGAGTTTCTCTCTTGCGTGCTCTCTCTATTTCTCTCTTTCTCATTTGAAATTGTTTTCCTTTTGCCAATTGAATTTCTTCTGGTGGAGTATGAAGCACAACATGGTGGTTGACATTGCCTTTTGTATTATTATGATTATATTATTATTCATATTATTAGACATAGAAAAACTGGTGATGGAATGTGTAGAGCCGTGAGAACTGACACGTGTGAGAATTTAGAGGCAGATACGTAGGCGTGGCTTTGGATTACAAGGTATCTAATATACCACCATAACTGCTAACTCTCAATAAACTTATTTAACCTTGGATTTCTCAGTACGACTCATGTTGTTCAAACAGTCAGCTGTTTTACACACGTATTTCCACCCATTTCTGTGATGTGGATGGCACCTGGGCTAAACCATTGGGCATTCTTTGATCTTAAAAGCCAAGGAAGGAAATTGACATCAAAGCACAAGCCCAAGCTTCTGGGCACTGATATCCAAAGATGTTCCTGTGTCACTGCATCCTCCAACTGGGCTCCCCACCCCAGAAGGAACAGCAGGGAGTTGGAAAAGCCTGCCTGTACCAAGGCTGCTCACCTGACCCTACCTGGCCCACTGTTGTGACCCTTCCATCACTTCCACATAATGGTCACAGGTCCAGGGCAGTGCCTTTCCTCACACTCAAGCCTAGCCTGGAGCCTTCCCTTGCTAGTGCAAACATTTGTGCCAATGCAGTGAGCAACGCCACAGTTCTGTGCACATAGAAACAGAGCGAGTCAGAAGGGGTCTCTTGGGCCATCTAGTCTGACCCCTGGCTCCAGCCAGCTCTGCTCACGACATGCCTTCCATGTGCATGCCCAGCCTATCCTCAAACACCCTCACCGGTGGGGCCTCAACCGCCTTCCACCACATGCACCTGCGCTAGCCAAAGTCCCTTCATCAAGGCACAAGACATGAAGCATGCCTGGGCTACCTGGGAAGATTGGGCAAGGGTTTTACTTAGAAGGTCCTCTCCACACCCTGCCAGAAAAAGGGGATACCAATGGGCAGTTTATGGAAGTCTACTTTGTTTTTAACTAAATGGACCCAGGAGCAAAACAGCAGCTGAGAAAGGGAAGCAGAGAATTTAGTTTTATTCATTTAGGGCACAATCCAGTGCTCTCTGAGATGCATGCATATAAGCCTCTTCTCCCTGTCCCAGGCATGGCCCCTTTTGTCCTCTCCAAGCCCAGGAGCATCCTTGGAGAAGCTCCTGACATGGCCTTTCCCCCTGGTCTCAGAGCTGAGCACGGAATAATTCTACACCCCCCACCCCCCGGACATTGCCAGGAGGCGATAGCATCATATCCTTATGCACGATATGACTTGAGTTATTTTCCAAACTTGCACGGCAGCCCACATAATAAAAGCAAAAAAATAACAGCGATGGTAAAGCTGCATAATAAAACACATTTTAAAAGGTTTCGTTTTTTTAAAAGGCGCCATAACAAAACTCCAGCATTTAAAAGAAGTAAATAACGGAGAAGCTAAAAACATAAAGGTCAGCGTTCAATGTATTTTGTTAAATATCAAGCATTTAGAAGTTAAATGGGAGAATAAAAGGTTTTCGTGGTGCTAGAAAGTCAACAAATGCAATGCCGGGCAGACTTCTCTTGAGAGGAGATTCCACAGTTTGGGGGCCGCCAAAGATAACTGCCACTCAAAAGTGCCCCCCCCCCCACACCTTGAATTTCAGGCTGTCGGGACAGTCAGAGCAGGTCTCAGAGAAGGATCTCAGGGCTTGGGCAGAAATATGCGGGTAGAGTTAAACATATTCTAACTTTTAAGGAGCAGAATGGCTTCAAGCACACACTTGGTCCAGGAATTTAGCCCTGTTCCCAAACACAGCTCATGAGTCTTTTCATGGAAAAACAACTCCCCTCCACTTTTATCTGTGGGTTCCTTTTCAGCTGCAGAATTTAGGGTGGAAAAGACTTTTTCTTGAAATTTTCAGATAGATGGGAGTAAGCAATGCTTGCTGGTTTGTGGCGAATCACTCAGAGATCTAGGTGTCGATCCCAATCTGTCTTCTGTCCTCCTCTGATGGAGCAGATGAATATAATGCAACATTGCGACACCTGGAGCTGTGGGATGACCCAAGATATGTCATGGGTTGGATCTAGGTTCTTCATTCTGTGAACTCTACTCATGCAAGCTGCCTCTGTCTCATACTAAGGGATTATCTACATTACAGACACTTAAGGGAATTGCCTACATTTTTGGAGACCCAACTACAAGGTTGGATACTTGCCTCAACCTCATAGCTGGTCCTGGCACCTGGAGCATCATCTTCCCATGTGCAGCCAGTTTGTGCAATCTGAGCCAGCTGCTTCCTCAAGGTCATAAGTACAATCTCAGAGATGGGTGTAGTGAGCATTTCCTGGTGTGGGGAGGGAAAGAGACAGCCATGGCCAAGATGTGAAGCATCTTGGCAGAGCTTCTGCCTCCCTTTCTGCCCTCGCAAGCCCCACTTAGGCAAAAATGGTTCTCTTGGTGCTTTGAAGGAGCACAGAGCTGACATTTCCCTCCATGGTTCTTCCACCTTGCATAGGATGCCCATAGTCCACCAAGTTGCACCATAATGGTGTTTTATGCTGCCTGATGTGATTGGATTGGGTTTTTCTTCTCTCTCCCTCATTTTAAATAATGTTTTCATGGCTATGTTTTTATGTAACAGTCATTGCCTTTTGAGAAAGCTTTTATGCTTCTGAATCAGACTGTTGCTTTTTACTCTATAGAGTGTTTTGGGTGGCAGAGCAGCAGAAAAGAAGGGAGAGAAGTTTGAAAATGAACATCTAAAAGCACTTAAATGAAGTCTCCTCATTTCGGAAGGCTGAACAACAAATACAACTACCTGTGGAGCACAAACTGCCTGATGAAGCAGCTGAATATCTGGTTGAATTAGACCCCAAGCCTCTCTGTGGGAGTGCTACCCTGTCTCTAGCAGAGCTCACAGCTGCTTCCGCTCCATGCCTGCCCCAGGCTCAATTGCTCCCAGTTTGAAGTGACACCACTCCCATTTCCCTCTGGCTCGGGGCTGGAAGAATCCCAGATGTCTCAGAGAACTAGTCGAGCTGGAGTTGACGGAGCTCCAGCCAGAGCTTATCCATGCATGCTAAAGCACATTCCCGCCCGGTCCAAAGAGCCAGGAAGCATTACTGCATCGTCTGGCCCAGTAAGGAGAGAAGACCTCCATAGCTGAGAGACCCATGTTGGACAAGCCCAAAGGTCCATCTTGTCCCCCATCCTGTCCACATGGTGGTGGAACCTCTCAAGTAGGACACGAGTGCAATAGCATTCTCCTAGTGAAGTCCGCAGCACCAGGTCTGCACAGGGCCTCTTGACAGTATGAGTGGCACAGAACCATTGGAACTAGTAACCACTGACTGCCCTATTTCCCATTGATTAGACCACTCCCCTCTTGAGGACATGCGATTCAGTGGCCACCACTAGAACCTGCAGAAGCAAATCCCTTCATTTAGCTTTGCCCTGGCTCAAGAAGGGCTTCCCTTCATCTCCCCTGCCCCCGATCAAGCTTCATGGGAGAACCCCAGTTTCTAATCCCGTGAGATTTCTCTAGGGTCTCAAAGAGAAACCTACACCCCACATTGGCTGTTTAGATAGAAAAAGGTGCTAAAAGACAAATGTCAAAAGAGCCAGAAGGGAAGCAAAGGACAAAGGGGAGTGAAAGAGACAAAGTCTCTTTATATTTGTAGAAATATAAATCTGAGTTGGCTGTGTGGGCCTCTAACAAGTAGCTTGCACCCATGTGGAAGAATGGTAGAGAGTGTAGCACATACCTTAACCCCTGCCCTGGAGTTCCACCAATCAAGGGCTCGTCACATACACAGAAAACACTCATATTCTTGCTTGGCTGGGAGCCAGGCATTAATTAAAGGAGAGATACTTTACCCAGTTCTGGCAGGGCAGTTATCATTTAAAAAGTTTCCAGGTTCTATGTTTAGAACATAAGAAAGATGTGGGGTGGGGAACACACCTGCCTCCTAGAAGAACTTGGAAGAGGCCAGCCTGGCCAGAAGAACTCGAACAACTCAGAATAAACTCTGTGTGTCCAGAAGTTAACAGCATGTTGGCATTCACTGGAGGCATTCAGCAGAGCTCAGCACTCTCCACTGAGCCCAAAATGGGTGGGTGGGGAGCAACTTACAATGGAAATGGCTGTGTTTGTGGCGACTGCCATCTTGCCCATGGGAATGTAAGAAGAGCCCAGTTCGAACAACACAAGGCCCATGTGGTCCAACATCCTGTGTTGGCAGAGGCTGTCTGGCTGCTTCTGGGAAGCCCATATGTGGGAGCATGAAAGCAAGAACTCCTCCCATGTGGTGTTCATCTGGTATCTTGCCTACAAACAGGAACACGGCTAGTGGTTTTGGCTTGGCCTAGGGAGTAGCCTCTTCTCAAAGCCTTCTCATCCAGGCAGTATGCCTTCCATGTCCATCCTGGTTGGGGCTAGGGAGCTTCCAGTGCAACATGTCTATGGGGAAGGCAGATCTAATCTAGCAGCATCTTGCAAATACCATTATTTATGGTATGTGGGCACGAGGGGTGGCTGAGCATGCACAAGACTCAAAGGGTGCTGCTTGAGGGCTTAAGACAAGCACCCAGAAGACCCCAGGTGGCCCCTGCATGTGAAAGAGAAATACTTGTGCAGTGGGGTGTGCCTGCAAGCATGAGAAGAGCCCTTCTGGAACAGAATGAGGGTCTATCCTGGTTGGCATTGTGTTCACGGTGGCCCAAAAATCAGGCAGGGGTGCAATAGCACCTTTTCTCCCATGTTCTCAAGCAGGTGGTACACATTAGTGCGCCATCCCCGACACAGGAGGGGGCTGAAAACCATCAGGACTAGTAGGCACTGACAGCCTTCTCCTCCATGGACTGGCCCATTCCCCCTTGACACGGTAGCCATCACTGCATCTAGTGGAGGAGAGTACCACAGGTTAACTCTGCACTGTGTGAAGAAGGGCTTTCTTCAAACTGCCCTGAGCCAACGATCATCAATTAAGGATGATCCCCAGACAGGCCCGTGAGGCTGAAATACCCAGCAGCTAACGAGATCTTCTTTAAACAAGCATTGCTCTCCAACCTGCTTCAAGGCCATAACCCAAATATTCCAGCAGTCAAGCCCATTGCCTGAGGATGTGGGGTCCTCTCACAACTCATGAGCACACACTCCACATATGTCTGGGTTTCGGGGTGGGACAAGCCCGGTTGG